TATTTCCGCTTGCCTTCATGCCTTGAGAGTCTACACACCGAGAATTGTCCACTGCACGCTCCGGACCTTATGAGGATACTCGCATCTCTGACCCTTCAAGATTAATTAAGGGGTCATACCAGACTGGCAGACTTCTTGCAAGGGGCTGCACTCGTTCAACCTTTCCTGAACATGTGGTGCATCCGAAAACCAACTCCAGTGATGTGAAAATATTATTTATTAATTTATTCCTTCCAGGGGCCTTCGTAGGCATTGCAGAGAGGATACTTAAAACTACACACATGATAATAGCATTAAAGCACACTGCTCTAACTTGTTAATTGGAAAAACAAACACAACTCTGAGCATATAGTTTAATAGTATGTGTTGATGTATTGTTATATAGCATGACACTTCCTATATGTATGACACAATAGACCCTTTGCAGAACCTTATCAAGCAACACAACTGTCATAATTTTTTTCGGCGTAAAGCACACGAATGGGCCCCAGTTCAGGTTGAACGCTAATGCAGCATTCGAGTCCAATAGGTGCTGAGCCGAATTCACAAAGATGGCGGACATAACATCCTTGTCGAACAAATACCCAAAGTATGAAAGCCTGGGGTAATTACAGTAGTAGCTACTGTCATTTGTTTCATCAGAATTTGGCAGACGGCAAAGGCTACAGTCTCGGTGAGTCAATACACACATTGGACAGAGGCACATGACAACATATCACCAGAGTGCTCGTCTGCACAGATTTGTCACACACCTTCGCTCGGTCTGTCTGATTGGCTCGAGGGGGCTGTGGCGGTTGGCCTTTTCCAAGTTACGGTGATGCGAAGTATAGACAGCCCACACTTTTAAAAAGAGTCTATTGAAGAGACCGAAAGGAATGGTAGTCAACATTTTTCAACAAGACTGCTCTCCAGGCAAGGGATGAACAAAAATATGAATCATCTTATCCAGGTAATTAGAACAATTAAATAATTGACCGACTAATACAATGCACTCTTGATGGAAAAGAGTATAGCTGCAATAAATCCTACAAAACAGAAAAAATGCGCAGTTAATCTATGCATGCACCAAAACAGTTGTTCTTATAACAAGTCGAATAGCTTTGAAGCAGGTGCCTGCAACGATTTATTCTTCCTCATACTCAATAAAACGCCATCCTCGTAGCTGAAAATAAGGGTGCACTTCGCACTCACACACACAAAAAAAAGGAAGAAAAGCGATCGAATGTAGAATCGTGGATTAGCACAAAAGGTTAAAATTGCAGGAGCTTCCTCGCTAAAAGTTCCTATGGTTGTTCGGTGACGGAGGGCTGAAACAACTTCCCTTAGGCCCTAACGTGACGTATACATTTCGCGTAGATTCTCAGATATTTCAACGTTCAAACAAAGCTAGGAGAATGCGAAAATTTCATGTTAAAAGCACTCAAAGTTCTATCGATCCTCGGACACATCCCGGAATCCGAGCACCGGTACGACGATGCAGAGCTGATGCTGTCTCACAGGCGTTAATATCCAGATGATCCAGAGCGATCTTGCGCAAAAACGGTATAAAGTATCATTCCTTCATATTTTCACATTATACCTGCGTCAGCCAGCACGAAGAAGCCCGAAGTCGTCGGAAAGCAGCTGCAGATCACGGCTACCGCGCACCGAACAAACTCGCATCCGCCAGCTCTGGGCGCTGCCATCTTACCTGTGACGTCACGGCTCTTGGGAGGTCATGTGACAAGTGGTCACATTTGCGTAAAATATGGCGGCAACCGGGGGGGTGCCACTTCCGAACTTCCGGTTTATCACTCTAAGCCGCTCTACCTCGTTGCATAATATGTACAAGCCCCCACCACGGAGGGAACCCCTAGCGGCAAACAGGTCGGTTTAATCGGGAAGCTTCTGCAGTCGCTGTGTTGGTTGTACATTGCAGTGGCAGCTGTAGGAGTGGATTAGCGGTGTAGTTTCTGAGATGGCTACTCCGCACTAAAAAAGCCAGAACAGTTGCTGCGTGGTTAGATGAAACACTAGGTACAAAAACTAGCACGGCACAAAGTTTTATGGCTTTCTCAGCTTCTCTTCGAAGCTCTACGCGGCAGAGCGCCGCCCGACCTGGGGCTGGGTGCGACTTGTGCATAAATGCAACGATTCTCGAAAATGTATCTTGAAAGAAACCTATAATAAACTATTCTATTATATTCTAAAAAGCGTTTCTCACCTTGCAGTTAACGTTTTGCTATAAGCTGCTGACGAATAATACAATTAAATTTTTCTAGCGACAATGGAACAAGGACACCTACAGCAAACCAAAATATGCAGCAAACACTTCATCAGGATGGAGAAGCAGAACAAGGTCACCCACCCAAGTTACGACCCATCGATATTTTCATCGGCCTACAACCAAACGTTTTGGCTAAGGATTGGGAATCTGTTTCTGTCTGGAGGGCCGGAAAATATAGATGTAAATATAAATGAGAAATAAGCTTAATCAAAAATCCCAAATCAGCGCCTATATACAAAATTGAGTTAGTAAAAAAAGAAGTAGTCTAAGGTGGATGAAAATATGCACTTTATTTTGAAATTCAATATTTAGCTAATTATTATATTACACAATTACTGGAAGCCAGAAAACTCACAATGCATAAATCAATGTGCATAGCAACTTCGGCATGTTCACGGACGGCAGGAGGCTAATAAGAATGACAGAAGGGATGCTGATAATACGCAATAAGTGTTATTCACTAGCGGTCATAGCTGAGCTCGGTAATGCTGAGCATGCACTATTGGCAAGCTTCCAACATGCCTACAGGCCTTGCACTGACGTCGCATCATCCATTTCGCACCACCACGGAAGTCTCAGAGCGGAAAGCTGCTTTGTACGAATTTTGAGTGACAGGTTAGTCTTCAAAAAGAGACTAGGACCGTCTGGGCGAGTCTGGAATACACAAAGGAGAGCCCCGTTGAGAAGATAATTTCTCCCTCCCCTGCCGTGCATGCATTACGAGCAGTCACCTCAAATATGGCATCCAGTGTATACCACATATAGATACGACACAGGACACAAGCACAATATACAATATACAAGGTAAAGAAATTTTAACATACGTAGTTGCCCTTTGGTGAACACTTTCAACTGATCTTACAAGATAAACCTCATTGGAGTTTTGTATGAAGTTGCAGTACTCTACGTGTTGCAGGACCAAGGCTGTGAAAGGCACCTAAGTGTGTTATGGCCTGTTCTACTAGGCATGCGAAGTACAAAATTCAGCGTTCCACACGTTTTGGGCAAAATTGTTGACATGCTGTGGGAAGAAATGTAGCTGAATGTTTATTGCAGACCTTCTCAATGTTGTTCTGCAAACCCTCGTGGTTTCTGGGGTCACCTGATAAGCGGCACCAACGTCCGGTTGTCCGTAACAGCAGTGGAGTCGATTGCAGAGAGGCATTATTATGATTAATAAATATGTTGAGAACAATTGGACTGGGCACACTGTCTCACGGAACTGTCCAGCACTTGGGCCACTAGAAATAGTTCCATGGTATGTACTGCACTCTGAGCGACTCAACTTCAAGACTTCTAGTATGCACACATTTAATTCGCGTTAATGAGCACCAGTGGCTCGCTGGGCAAGCCGTAGGACTCAGCTTTCACGAAAGGCGAGGCAGAACTCGCAGCATAACAGCACCTTGCCATGCTTGTGGGAGGTTCATACTCCAGGTTACGGCGTCGCCAAAAGGGTAGTCGGAAAGGTACCAGGACCAGCACAGCTCTACACCTCTTAGAACCAACCTTTCTGTAAGCAGTGTTCTCCACTGTATCATTCGACAAGGTGACCGCCATAAACCGAATCGTGCATCCACGTTTTACGTACCGCTAGAACCGTCGTGGGATGAGTCTCGAGAGTGAGTAAAGGCGCATCAGCTTATTCGGGACCAAGTGCCCATTTTGAGAATTACACTCAGAGTTGAAGCAACACAGAAGGCTCGCGTCTCGCAGCGTTACCTGTAGAATGACCGTTCGGAGCGTCGGGACACTGTGAAGGTAACACCATTCACATCGAAGAGCTCACCACTGAAGGGGGGATACCGAGTTTTTAAGAGCCACTAATCGTAGTAATCGCATTCCAAAGACGCCAAGTTGTCGTAGATTGTCTTTCACCAGCTAGGTCATGTAGGGCTGAGGCCAAGGCTGGGGGATTCGACGCCGGAAACGTGCAGGAACCAAGCAGACGACGTGAGGCTCACGGACGCGGTTCGTGGGTGTCGACGAAGTCCGAGCCACGATCCGAGCAGCCCTAGTTGCAGCCTTGCCTCCGAGAAGACTGGATATTCTTTCCGGCGGGCACACAATACTTAGACAGCACGCCTGCGGCTGATGCGGATCGCAAGAGGTGGATAGCAGGACGACCAGTGAACAGCCAATAGGTCCAGCACGGCACAGAGCACGAACAGAGACGATTGTCGCCGCCACGTTAAAATAAAACAAGGCTGAGCCAGGCCAAGCTTTAGTTTAGTACACGCATACTTTGTTACAAATAAATATATAAATGTAGAAACAGTTTTTATTTATGTTTAAAATTTGTAATGTAAGTCGATTAAAACGGGAACATTTACGTTGCGTCAAATGAGTTTCGTCGTAACACCTGTCGTCAAACCAGCGAACGTCGCCGCATCGCCATCGCCATCGTCACCAAAATCAAAAACAAACCAAGCTGCAAACTCTCAGGCCACCGTACTTCGGGCGGTTTCAGGCCTTTAGGCTTACGGAAAAACATCGAAGAACGTTCTTGAAGAAACAAAGTGTCCCAGGTGCCGGCGTGCCCATAGAGCCAGCTGTGGGTTTCAGTCTACTTGGTGAGTACTTTTCCAGCCCTTTCTTTTCGGAGTGTGTATGGCGTGTTCTTGTGTGTGCAGGCAGCGTGGAAGCGGACGTGTGCGGTTCCTTGTCGCACACATTCTTTGCGCATTGGATGACCTCAAGCTTTTTCCAAGGAAGTACCGGAACCAACCTGTCACTGAGCGAACAGTCAAATGGCGGGAACGGACCCAGAGGCAAGGTCCCACGGGGGTGTGGGGCGCCGAGCGAGGCGCTTGGTGAGTGATCGGGGAGCTTTATCTCGTAGATCGGTGTTCAAGGCTTGAGTCCTGCAAATCGGGTGGCGGCTTGGTACCACCTAGCTAGGCGGTGTGTTTTGCGGAACCCATGACTGCTGAAGGTACCAGTTTGCGTCCTAGCGCTCGTATTTGCACCCCGTTTGTTTCCACTGTGGGAGGTCGAATCCAAGTTCGATTTTCGTCCTGGAAAACTACTCGAAATATTGCGTGACCTGCGCCTTTGGAAGTACCGTCTGTATTGGTAACGTTGCTTGCGAAGAGTATAAGGAGTTATTTTTTGACTGTGGCACGGACGTTTTATACAAAGTGCTGTATATGTAGCGCTCATTTACTAACCCTCTGGCAATACTTTATTGTGAAGGTCGGGAGAAAAAAAAACGCGCATTGAGTAGTACCAAAGAAAACAGAAAAAAAGGTGTTCCAAACAACTTGAGGAGACCATGAGCTGATTTTCAAGCTACTGCCTCCTCAGCTTTCCTCCTCAGTTCATAAGCAAAGTAAGAAATCATGTGGTCTTATTTCACTGGAACCCAAAGTTTTCGCAGCAGTCTGAGAGTCAGCGAGAACAAAGCCTTTGATAAAATTCACGCTTTACATTTTTGCAAGCGCCAACAGCCAAAAAGTATAAATTACGTGTAAGCGATTCAGCGAGCGAAGAGACAAGCAATGGCAACCATTTTGCTATCACTCAGTCAGTCTCGCGACAAGGTAATCGCTTGAAAGCGACGGGAGCAAGCAGTCAAGTAATTGAGCGACATTTTCTAGAGATCCAAAAACCCAGCTACAGTGACAAGTCTCAGTTGCTCGCCTCGTTGCTTGCTAAACCGCTTACATGCGGTTCAGCCTTTATTGTGCGAATGCGAGAGACATGTGCCACGAGTGAGTGCTGTGTTGCCAATCATTTTATTTAATTTATTTTCACCTTAAGGGCCCGGTCAGGATTCGCGCAGTGTGCAACTCGTGCACTGGCACTTACATGCCATTGTTATAAAAATCAAGACAAACAAGAAAAGGAAGCTCATTAATCATACATAGTGGCAATAAAATACTTTTAACAAGAAAAATGAATCTGTAAGCTTGCCAGAAATACTTCTGGGATTACGATGGTGGATGGTAGGCTGTTCCAGTCGCAGATGGCTTGAGAAAGGAAAGATTGATTGAATGCGTTTGTGGAACTGGAAATATGAGATGATGTTCATTCCAGAGGTGATAACAAAGAGCTCTTGAGGTCGGGGCAATGATAGTCGACTTTATGAAGGAGGCAGAGGCGAGATAGCTTTTTGCCGAGCTGCGAAGAATTCACTTCCAAGTACCTCCTTTCAGGGCTATATTGCCATTTGCTTACAAGTGCTGCACGAGCCTCGTGCACTGGCACTTACACGCCAGTTCCAAAACTAACACAAACACATCAGGGGGTTTTAGGCGGGTTAGCCATCCTACAAAATGGTGCTGCTCAGTTAATTTATATCAAGTTCAAAATGAACAGTACTCTTTATTGATGGCTGATTCATACGACGAACTGATCCACACAAAGGAGCACACTCACAAACGACAGGCAGGACATACCAAACATGTTCGCGGCCCCACACTGCTCAGAAATTCTAACATTGTGCGATCACACTGTGACACAGTTGTCACAAATCGAAATCAACATTTTCTACTTGAAAAAAAGAACTCTGCGCCACTGTTACGTGCAGAGGGAGACTTAACACAATGATAGGCTTAGTGCGAAGCACCATTAGCTTTACTAAACAAAGTCATGATAAAAACACAAGCGTAGTCCTACTCGAGGAGACTTTGGCGTAGAAGCGACGAAGTCCTGGGCTCGCCACGGGGCATTTGGAGACACCTTCACTCACTCCGTGCTTGCGCCTTCAATACACCACAGCCACAAGAAAGTAGGGGTGCCGCGAACTTTTGGCAAACCGGATTTTTAGGTCGAGCATTTGGGGTTCGACTGTGTCAAACCGGTTCGACAAACCTTCGAAACTTTTAACCAGATTTGACCTGTTCGACTTTGTGGACAGCGTGGCAAGACCATGATACAAGCATGTCTAGGTCTACAAAAATTTGTTTTCACTCGAAAGGTTATTTTAATTTTATAAACAGTTGCAAATAAAAGAAACTAACCCTAACTACTGAAGCAGTTAATAACTTACTTTTTTGTACTGTATTAATTGGAATAACCAATAGGTGCTGCCCTTAATTCATCCCTTAGCCATCACCATCCAATCCGAAGCCAACTGGCCAGCATGTCGCGCGTGCGAACAGCAGTCAAACATTTTTCTAACTTTTCACAAGAAGTTGGAAAAAGTCGAACCTGGTCAAACTCGAACGTCGGCTGGTTTGCGACACCCCTACGAGAAAGGTCTTGCTGGCTGAACGGTTCATTGGAGATGCAAAGCTCTTCCGTCGTGCTAGACACGATTTGACAGAAGCTTTTCGACGCAGATGAACACCAGAATCTGCACCGTGTCAGCCCGGCAAAATTCCTCATACCAACTTTTTTGGTATGAGAAATGGAATGAAAGAATATTTTGTGGCAATAGTTGGGGTCATTTTGCTTTAAAAGTCTTACTTCCAATTTTCAGAAAGGGACAAGCATTGCAGACCAGCTGCCTCCACAATCATGCCCCCCCTGCTTTCCTGGTAGTTGCTGTCGGTGTGTAACCTGAGCCTTTGTATTTTCTACCTTTCTAATAGAAATGAATGGTTCTTCTACACGTGCTAAAGTGAGAAGTATGCTACTGCTATGTTTTTCAGTTTTGTAAACCTTTATTTCCTCAGACCAAAAATTTTTCTTCAGCTTGGTTCAGATGCCCAATACATTCATGGAATATGGTGTCCAGAAATTTCAATTGTGCGTTGTCTGTATGTCTGGGGGGGGGGGGGGGGGAGTTTACTTCGCTGGTCCATTTGGTAGACAAGACGTTGTGAGAAAGAGAAGTGTAGATAAAATACAAGTGCAAGTTTTATTATGAAAACCTTTTAATACGGGACTGATTAAAAAATTGGAATATGAAACAATATGACGTCCTGTCTTCCTCTTTCTTGTTACTTTCTGTAACCTAGTCTTGTGACTTGGAATCATATACCACTACATAAGATTCAATGACATGGAAGGTACTGCAGCTCCTTAAACCCTTAAAAAACACATGCAAAGGAAAAAAAACATTTTTTTTTTTTAAACAGCTTTGATGGAAAAAGATTGCTTTAGAACAAATTTACAACGAAAAAATACAATTTTTAGAGCTATATTTATGGCGCAAAACGAATTTGTAGTTGGCGCCCGTGAGAGCCGTCGCTGGTCACGTGTTAGACCTGTGCACCGCCGCGCTGTGTCGCCGAAGCCGCGGAGACCCGCTGCCGCCGCATGCTGAGCACTGTGCGCTGCCGCTCCAATGCATTTCTCCACGGCGGCGCCGGCGGCGCCGCCGTCGCCGTGCAAGTTTGTGTGCTCTGGGGTGCCGCCATTGTCATCTTACCGGTGCACAGGTTTATCACGTCTGCTTGCGCTTTTTCAGGAGCTTTCTTTGGGCTCTAAAGGTAACTTATTAATCTTTTTTTTTTTTGTTGCACTTCAAACGAAGATGAATAAGTAACTTTTCGAGACCATACGAATCATCCGAAAGACTGCAAGTACCGTACAATACCGTGCATCCGCCCACACCACACTAAGCGCCCATTCCCAAATTTGTAGGATCTGAGAAAATACACAAAGTACATTTATATGTAAAATTGATGAGCGAAGAAGGGCTCATCCCCGATTTTTTCACGATTATCTCTAAAGTTTGAGTGGGCGCTTGCTCGGTATTTTACGGTACCATGTGACAAATAGCGGCCAATCACGTGATAAATAAGGGCCACTTCTCCGCGGTGCCCGCGGGCGCCAACTACAAATTCGTTTAGCGCCGTAAATATAGCTCTAAACATTTTTCTTTTTCGTTGTAAATTTGTTTTATGACTTCCTTTTCCTAATCCGGCTGTTTAAAAAAAAAAGTTTGCTTTCTTTGCATGTGTCCTTTAACTGTTTTAAGCAAGCCTAGCTCTTCCACCTAGAGCCGTTCCCTAGGCGTTTAGGAGGAATGTAGCATGTCCACGCATGCTACCTTGCCCCTTGGCTGTTTTGGACGTCCCATGCCCGCTCCGAGCTTATTTTGCGGTGCAGCTGAGAGATGGCAGCACACATTTTATTATTGTACACGTTTTTAAGGATGGCGACTGATTGTGGAGGCACGTGCGGCCCAAGCCGCACAGGCTTTAAAAAAGGAAAAAAAAATTTAGGATGAAAAACTGTAAAACAAAACCGGTTAAGTGGTTAAGGTGAATATTGTGCGACATCATTATGCAGTTTCCTTGTTTCTTTGAGAATATATAATTGGATACGAAACACATTTTCATGACGTGCAGGCAACGTCAACAAAAATGTTAAGTGATTGCAGACTCCGCAGTCCATCTATGGCTGATTTACACGACGTGCTAATCCGCGGATGGGTTTATCACGTGGCAAGACGTCCATGGAACGTTAGTCCCCCAAGCGCATCCACACTAAGGAGATGAGCAGGCGACAGCGAGGACATACTATACCTATTCGCAGCCTTTCAATTTTGCAAAATGCCTGCATCGCAGTGTGGCACTGTTTTCCAAGAGCAGAAGTGATGTTTGCGACTAGGATCACGGTGCTATCATGAAAAGGAATCGTTGTGTGCCGCTGTTACATACCAAGTGGGCTAAAACATAGTGGCAGGCTTAGAGTGAAGTGTCACTTACTTTACTAACGACATGACACAAGTATGATCCTGCTTCAGGAGGCTTTAGCATCATAGCGATGAAGTCCTGGGATCGCGGAGAGGCATTTGGAAATACCTTTACACACTGGTCGCTTGTGCACCACTCTTCAGCACAAGCCATAAGAAAGGTCTTGCTGGATGGAAACCTGAGTGGATCTGCAGGAAAGATTGCAGCATGCTAGGCGAGTTTTGACAAGCTTTTTGACACCAGCTGGAGGAGTACCAGGACCTGTGGCGTGTCAGCCGGGCAAAGTTCTTGCAGCTTCTTTCACGCGTGGAGATTTAAGAGTGGCGCGACAAAGCAATGATCCACTCTCTTTGTTTGACTGATTTGAAAACAAAAATATTCATGAGCTGTTGCTACTCTACCATAAAAACGCTTTTCGAGTTACTCACTTGCCAAAAATCTGCAATTAAGAAGGCACTCTGCCCTTTCAGTATGGGTGTCCGCGGACGAGGGACAAATCTCAGGAATAGCCTACATGATGGTAACTTGACAAATGGTGCACGGATAAAAATTGCAATTCGATGTATCATTTGAATTTGCCATTATTTGGCAATTATCCTAATATGATCAGTTGATCCTAATTAAGAAAGAACAATTGTTCTCTGAAACAATGTAATGAAAGGAGGTTTTTATAAATAATGCCTGCTCATAATGGAAAAGGCTTGGTGGATCAGAGATTTTCCATAGATCAGATATTACGAATTGCAGGCGTATGCTTAATTGAGAGAAGAGTAAAAGTACAGGCAAGGATGGTGAATTGCATACATAACTAAACCTGAGACACCGGAAGAAGGACGCGAAAAAGAGAACATCAAACACAGCACGTCTCAACAACAGCTGCATTTTTTTTTACTTCTTAGTCGGTGGGTTGACTTTGGCAAGTGTGGGAACGTTGAGGGCAGTTCTTTTTTCCCCCTTGCTGAAAATCTGGGGGTGTGACTTAGTGTGAGGGTTCTTGGTATTGACTGTGGTGTAGCCCTATAAAATGGTGTGGTTTTAGTATGAACCTGCAGCTGTGTTCGAGACATTATCTGTGTCGTCCTCTTTTTTGTGTCCTCCTTTTTCCTTCTTCCGGTGTCTCAGATTTGGTTATATATGCTTAATCCATGCTCAAAGTGAGGACATGAGCTTGTGCTGGCATTGCCAACCTCGTGTGCATGGTCTATGAAAAGTGCTTAATGACTGTGGTTAAGAGAGAGGAGTTTCTGCTTTCAAGAACAGCATGGGGTGAATGGAAAAGTGTTCTAACAAACAATGAATTCTCCGGGTTACCCACTCAGTCTAACGGAAGGATGTTGGATAGGCATTTTGAAATCTTTAGGATTTGCCAAGGGATAAAAAAAATAAATGCACAGAAAAGTAGGGGGAGGAGAATGGCACAAACATTTTGGGGCTTGTGTTCTTACTTTTGAATTTTTTGTGGAGGAAGCATTAAGGCCCGTTCACACTCTTGCAACCGAGTACGAACGTGAGAGACGAGACCGGTTTTCAAGCCACTTGCGATCTCTTAGGACCAGCTGCGTTGTGGCGCATCCCGTCCTAAGAACTCGCAAAAGGCTTAAAAACCGGTCTGGTCTCTCTCGGTCTCACTCGGTCACAAGAGTGTGAACGGCACTTTACTGAAACAGCACTTCAGTCCTGGGGGCAATAAGTCATTGCTAGTCAATACCTGATTCCACTGATGCATATCAGGCAAACACCTCTTAAAGGGCCCCTGGAAAAAAAAGTTTTTTGAACAGTCTGATAAGGACACTCGTGCCAAAAAATAAACTTTATGCGAAAATGATTAATTTTTTTAGAGCAATATTGACGGCAAGAGATTTATGTTAAATTCTGCTCGCAAAGTCCATGACGTTCCGGAATGGTCATTCGCTCTCGCCACCTCAACACGAAGGCGAAGCTGATCTCCTTCTCCTCTACTCGCTCGAAGTGCCCAGAGGAAACAGGTGGAAAGGAGGTGACTACCGACTAAATTGCGTCTCGCGCCGTCAATATTGCTCTGACAAATTTTTTTTTCACGTAAAATTAATTATTGGACACGTGTGTCCCAACAAGTCTGTTTAAAAAAAAAACATCTGTTTTTCTTTTCAGGGGCCCTTTACTGAAACATCTTTGCTCTCATTGTTCTAATTTAACACTATTGTGGGAAATGACTTTCAGGAAGCATGAACTGCAAAATTCGCGCGTGAAAAGGATTGGTAATTTTTAACAAGATGTTTTGTCTCTTCCAGTTGTACCAAAAAGTGCATAAGGGTGGACATTACTTAACCATCGTTTCAATCCTGGGGACATGGAGTCATTGCTAACCAGGGCCGGTCACTGCTAGCCAAAACAAGACTTCATAGGTGCATATCAGGTTAGTACTTTTTTCTGGTATTTATTTTTTTATTTTAACGAGAGAACCTTGAAATGCAGAACAGTAATTGTTTCAGAATATACATAGTTTCTAATTTCCAGAGAATTGAGCTCATCTTTCTGAAGTTCCAAATCAAAAGCACAGGCTGTAACCTATTTTTGCCAAATATCTTGCAGTTTTGTTGGTTTGCTTTTCATAATGAACATTTCAACTCCGCTGGTGCAAGGGCATCGATAGATTTCTGGAACCATTAAACACAGATGGAGCACCTTATCTGGCGTGTGGCTTGTTAAAGGGATACTGAACCGAAATTTGAATTTCGCGAAATAAGGCTCTAGAAGCGTTGAACAGGACTCTACGAACTCCAAAACATTACTCGTACATCGATATCTCAAACAGATCGCTGCACTTTTGGAAAAGAAGGGCACGATCAAGCGAGGTCTTTGACATCACTGTCCTCCGGGAGAATTTGAGAATGAGGGGAAGCGGCCTCGCTTCTCTCCTCCTCGCTTCGGTTCACCAGCTTGGCACGGGACGTAGCGAGAAGGAGAGGGAATAAGAATCGTGACGTGCCTTGTCTCGTCGGACTCCTCGGCCGGGCACTTCTTTTCTAAAAATATGGCGATCCGTTAGAGATATCACTGTATGAGTGATGTTTTTGGGTTTTGCACCGTCCCGCCTATCTGTCCAGCCTTGTTTTGTGAGTTCAAAATTTCAGTTCAGTATCCCTTTAACCTCGGGGTGTATGTCCTATGCCTTCTTCCAGGTGCTCGGCATGTTGAGTTTGCGATCCTTTACCCTTACTCCGAGTGCAGCAACTATACTTTGTGTTTCACGATAACTTGACAAGCTGTGGAAGCTGCGGCCTTCCCGATCCAATAAAAGCGTCGAAGCAAGGCACGTGACAGCAACCCCATGGTTGAGGTCGCTGTCGAATCGCTTGGTTGAGATTGCTGTCGAATCGTTTTTACCAATCGCCTACAATTGCTGAAAAAGTACGTCCCGTAAACAATTCCGGTAAAGTGTCAACACATTGGAATCTATATGGAGATCCCACTGCATCGCGGAAATTAGAACCCGCGAATTATTTCAAAACTTCAGCTTCGACCTTAATTGCGAAATATGGAGCCCGCGAAAAATAAGTCTGCAGTAAGCACAAATAAAGTTATTTCCTTATGAATTCCAGGATTTGAGTGTTTCTGGCTTACATTTGTCTAGTCTAAACTAAAATTTTGTTCTTAATGGACTGCAGGGATGATTTACTTAACTAAAAGTTCCTGTTCATGCATAGAATAATTTATTAATTATACTATACTAAGATTATGTGGCTACACTTCCATTAAAGGTGTAGGGAAACGAAATTTCAGCGCTCATTTTCTAGCTTTAATGTGTTGAGTGTTGCACCCTAACCTCAAAATCACCAGTCTTTCGTTGAAAAGCACAAGAAAACTAATTTTAAAGCTAAATAAATGACTTTCAATGTGCACCTGGTGGATGCATTCTGTTATGATCGGCCACCCAGAGAGCAGGTTCGGCTTCCTGGCAGCGCCATCGACCTCCCATCGACTGACCAGAGTCTCGGGCTCGGCATTCTGGCGCCGCCGAACATGCCGACCGACGCGGCGTGGGTGGGGTGCAGCTTCCGAGCGACGCCGAGCGGGCCACCCGGCACAGCGGGAGCTGACCCCCCTGACACCCCGCTGAGAAACACAGGCCCGCTTCCTCGGCCTTCGGACCGAGTGCTAACGAACGATGGAGACAAGTGGAGACGTTTGGGTCTCGGTGTATGATCGGGACAGCTGCCTGTTCCTGCGTTCTTCTGGGAAACGGGACGAGAGGGATGCTTGGACCGGGGTGTGACCACGTGGGAGGTCTGCGTCCCGGGAGACTGCAGAGACGTCCCGTGGTGACGGAAGTTGTATGCTATGTAAGTTGACGAAAGTTGTATGTTATGTATTTTCCGTCATGCGGTGATGTATTGCCTTGATAAATGTTTGTGATTGTTTTCAGAATGTGAAAGTTGCAGAAGGTAGGTGATTTTAAATATTAGGTCAGTCATAAAATTTAAGTCAATAGACCCTTTTCCAACGTCAGTACGAACGCCTGTCCGCCATTGCTTGCTCTCATACTCTGAGCATATACTGAAAGCGAGCCCTGCGTCAGCGTTCAGCGAGAACTCAGGTTCAGTCGCGCACTTCGTGAGCAAGCATTACTGACAGCCATTGTTGCTTGATAGACTTTTGAAAAGGGTTTACTGACTAGATAGATATTGTACAAACTATTTTACGAGAACATGTAATGTGACTGTCGGTTTTGTTTACATTACTTTCAGATGCCCGTCGGAGGTGCGTCAGCCTGTGACCAACTGGGAAAGCAGATGCAGCTCGCCTCAAAGAATTGCCTCATTAGCATGCACGAGCTACTTAAAAGCCTGAGACTGGAGGGCAAATAAACGAGCCTGCGGGTGGAATGCATGTTCACAATTTCTCGAAGTTCGAGCATTTCTCTGTGCATGCACTTTCTGCTATCTTGCATAGGCTTTAAAAGGACAGTGTTTCCCTGCTGAACTTTATGTTTCACTGATGAGTGAACCATGTGGTTAATACGATCGATATACACCAATACGCGGCCCTGACGTCCCGTTGCTACGGTGGTGCTGCTACTGTTAGGCCGCATGTGCAAACGCTTTACGTCACGTGAATGTCGTTCTTGCGCACACGCAGTGCTTGCACCTCGTGTAGAAACTGAATTTGTTCACACCTCGTGAGGGCTTGTTGGTAAATAGTGCGTTGGCCTATAGATCATATCAACGATTTAAGCTGCATGAACGATATCATCCATAACAACCATAGACCATACAAACCATATGGACCGTACAAACCATATGGACCATACAAACCGTACCAACCCGTACCAACCATATGACCCGTACCAACCGTATGACCCATATGACCCGTACGAACCATATGACCCGTACCAACCGTATGACCCGTATCCCATAACGCTATATGAAGACCCGTATGGAAAATTCATATGGTTTTTTTCAGTAGGGGTAGCTTAACGGATAACGTACCTTACGCTAGCTACAGTGAACTGTAGCAGCAGGCAGCGGACAAGCGTCGTCTGCATTTCTGTATGGGGTTTTGGCGCCCCTAGTAGCAAATCTGTGAAGTAAGCGCGACGACGACGAAGACGCCATTGGGCAGGCATTTTCAGTATAAAGGAGGCTATGGTCAGGTATACGTAAAGATCAAGCACTTGGTTTCTCCGGTTACACCCTCAAATTAAGAGAGGGTGCAAATGTGGCTTATTCATGCGGAACGACAATCGCATTGTACGTGCACAAGAATGCACAAATATGTAATGTTTTTTTTTTGTTCTTTTTCGCCGAGTTCCAAACTGACAAATTTTTCGCGTGAGGTTGGACACTGGAGAAAATTACGCTTCGCGCTTTTCCTATACTCTATTTGTCCAGATTAGATGTACCATCGAAGTTACTAAATATAAAAAAAAAAAACATTGTGACGTGCTGGGCTAGTTGGCTTGAGGTGAACATCTTGGGAGGGAACAGCGGCAAAGGAACTTGGACGAGAGTAAAGAAACAGACACGACAGGACGGCGCTGAAGTAAAGACTGTTGTTTATTACACAAAAGGGGAAGGTAGTAAACAAGAAGTACCTGAATCAGAAAAAAATAGACACACATAACATGCCAACCAAGCAGCATATTTTGACACGATAGGCCAAATCAGTGGCTACGTAATGCCTCTCATAGTCGATTGCAGGTACCCGAAGTTTTCTTCAGATAACGCCAATGACGGTTCGCTGACGCATCTCCCGCCAGTTCTGAGATAAAAAAAGGCCTCGATAATTTCCCTTGTCACTCTGCCTCTATGTCTATCTAAAACAGTGACTTCACTACAATTAGGCTGGCACTTGCAGTCCCCGCAGTGTTACTACCTTTACACTGCAGGGAGAGCAAGTGCCAGCCTAATTTTAGTGAAGTCAAGAGCGCATTTCAAAAACCGGACCTACGTGGCCCACCTATTTCTATAACTATTCAAACGGCGAAAACAGCAGCCCCACAGATCCCATCAGCGTGACAGAGATAGTCACGTGACAAATTTTTGTCCAAACGTTTTTGTCCTACGCGTCCTACGTAGAGAGGCCACGCAGGGTGACGCGTTTCGCTTCACCCTTTTTAATTTGCTTAAAGCGGCTGTCGCGCTCGCTGACAGATGGGGAGGATTTGCAAAAGGCGAGGTCGAAGGGGCATCAACAACGCATAAAAGGAAAGGTCGCTTCTGCGGTAACCTCGTCGCCTTTCCTAGTCTGTTAGCGTTCGGCTTCCATTGTGGGACTCAGAAAGATCATCTCCTTTCTTAAATGGAAGGGGTGCTCCAGTTTTGGGGACTTGTCGCCATCCGATAGGCCTCAATTATTTCTCTCCCGACTCGCTCGCAGTGGCCTCCCATGGCTGTCGTGCCGGCGAATTTAGGAGCGCAGCTGGAACATTTTCTCTCGCGAATGACGATGAGGTGTTCAGAATCCGAAGCAGCTCTTTCGACGTCCATTTGATGTTCTCGGAGTCGGTCGTTGAGGCATCGCTCGTTTGCCCGGTGTACCTGTTTCTTCCAAAATGTTTACTAAATATATTTGACCGCCCCAAAATGATGCACGGTTGATCACGCAACCACACAATTAGAAGTCTTAGGAGCGAAAAGTTTAACAAATAACCAGAAGGTTTTTGCATGAACAAGCACGAAAGCGTTGTACAAAAGATAGAGATTATAATTACTATTGATACAACGTTGGTAACAAGGTTGTCGAGATTCTTCAGTTCTTTTGTTTTATGTTGTATGTCACTCTAATAGTGAATTGAAGTCAAGTGAAGAAGCATATCTTCTTGTGAGCTCCATATTGAGAATGCATATGAAATGATAAATAGTGTAAACAAAACGCGATCTTCATCTCCATCTTCCCAATCTGCTCCGTTTAAACTATTCGCATGAGGATAGGCTTGCTGCCCGTGGTCTGCTATTATTTCATCATATTCCCAACGTGCTGACATTCCACAATGACTTTTTTTTAAGTTAATTTTTTTTTTGTTAAAGGGAACTGTGCAGGAAGATTTAGGCACCATTTATTTTATAAATATTGACACCGTGACTTGTGACCACCATTGTGTTTCTTTTTCTGTACCGAGAAGTTTGTTGCGAGTATGGAACGGTCAGATAACAGGAGCGGTTACGTTCCAGGTGTCGTGCATCCGGTTTTGATTGAAAGCAGAAGCGGCAACTCAAGAGGCGCTGTTCAACTTTCTAAAGACTACGTCATATTCTAAGGCTGTTTGTGTAATCACGGTGATTGATGTCTCTGCTTTCTTTTCTATACCTGAAATGTTCGCTATAATTTATAATGGGGGATACATCCAATGCCGAAGTTTCGGATTCTGCGCAGCCTCAAATAAGTTGGGGAGAGAGTCTTTCAGGAGTGTAATGATTTTGGAGAAGCTAGAGGAAAGTTTAGATTCAACAAAGTCTTTAAAGGGTGTGATTTTTATTGCGAGTCGCATATCGAAGGTGAGTACTGATTGTTTCTTGACTTCTTAAGGCTAAAAGTGGAAGTGCCCTAGCCTCAGCGAGTGTGCCGTTCTTCAATGTGCATTTGGGCGGGCCCAAACAAGAGCGCAGTGCTTGTGCCAGGGCACTTCCAAGACCTTTCATAACTGTCTTTGAGGCTCCGTTCATAACTGGTAAGGTGTATCGTAAGAGTACTACAAAAAGAGAGTTATAGAGGGTCATCGTTGCTGAGACGGAACAACCGCTCCTTGTTCTGCTTATCATTCGTATTATTTGGGTGATAGAGTTTAATTAATTATTGGGTCGTTTAATATGAGAGCCCAAAGTGAGATATTTGTCACAGTTACACCTAAAAAGGTGTATTAAGGAACATAGGGCATCGGTGTTCTTTCTACATACATGAGATATTTGCTGGTATCCTTTTTTGTAAAGGCAACAGCGGCTGACTTTATGGGAGATATATGTAGCCCACGAGACTTGAGATATCTTCTGACAATGTTAATCGCTTTCTGTATTTGTGTCCGATTTATGTATAAGTACTTGCTCGATACCCAAAGACAAATGTCATCAGCATATAAAGATATATCTACTGTGTCCGGAAGTTTGAGAAGACCAATGACCGATATTTTAAATAGAATTGGACTAAGAACACCCCCTTTGGTCACCCCCTGTTTTACTTCATGGTGTCCTGTGTCACCGTCTTGTGTTGAAATGTAAATTTTCCTTCGCTTAAGGTAGTTTGGTATCCACATGACAACAGGGACTTCAAATCCCATGTTTTTCATCTCAAGAAGTATTGGATTGTGTTCCACTGTATCAAATCCCGGTTTGATGTTATTTAAAAGCTCGGTTGTTTTCTTCTTCTGTATTTTAATCTCTTGGGGTTCGGAATCCGGAAATTTGGGGTGGATATAGGCCTCTGTTCTCAAGGTCCCATTCAATCCGCGTAAGCACCATTTTTTCCATTATCTTACCAATGCAGC